CCCCAAAACCCCAAAACCCCGTCAAATAATTTTTGAGATAATTGATTTTTGCTTCAAAATGAATCGATATTACTCTATCATTATATATTCTTATGACATAGATTTGTTTAAGATGCTTTTCTATTTACTCAATTCCTATTAAAGCTCGCTTAAGAGAATTTCAATTTGATATAATACTCATCATTTGCTGTTTTAAGGCAAGACCACTCGTATCTCGCAGTAGACCTCGAATGTATCAGGAATCAGCATATCTTTCGGAAGGCCACTTTCATCCTTTACATTTGAGAACGATATTCTGTAATAGTATCCTTTCTCACTTACAAGTTCCTAAAATAGATTAGATTAGATTCTATAATTACCAATTCAAAAATACTCTCCTCCTTCATATTATTTTTCAAAAAATTAAGTTGAGGTACTGAATTATTTGTGCCGTTATTAATAGTTAGTTTATTTTTCTTCTTAATCTCAAGCATTTTCTGATGCTGTCCCTGCTTCTAGTGGACTTTATACTCCCATTAATCACAAATAAGCTAAGTTTTGAATTTCATAAAACTTTTTATTTTTTGGATCTGCTGAGTTCCTCCTCCATCAAAACTTTTCATCAAAGGTTCAATATGGTATATGTGAATGGATAACTTATCAGAGGTCAAAGCAACGAATCAGTTATCGAAGCTGAAACTTATCGATTTGATATTCGTTTTAGTCATCCCTCTTGAAAGTAATACCTTTGTTTTTTTTGTTTCAAGATCTACAATATATATGGATTTTCCTCCATTAAGTGCCACTGCTAGTAGATTATTTTAGTTATTTAGCTTAAGAAAACTGATATTTTTGAAAATTTTCTCCTCTTCAACTTGGATTTAGCTCTTGACAATGATAAAATTTGAGTCATTTTTATTTCCTTAAGAATTTGTTGATTATGTATTAGTGGAAGCTACTGAGTTAAAACCTTTAAAGAGCTATTCATCAATTGAATCAGATTTCTTAGCTATCTTTGTAATATTATCTAAATGATTTTAACTAGGATAAATCTTACAAGTATCAACTTTTACCAAGTGAGATTTTTCTTCGTCAATATAAGCAAGTGTTAACTTATGTCACTATTGCTAATTCTAATCAAAATCAGTTTCTATATTTGAATCAAATTGAGCTCGCTCTTCTGTTGAGATCTTCAATAGATGTTTTAAAGTGTATACATCGCACACTATAATTTTATGAACGAAGGCAACAATTAAGAACTAAGATTTGATCTCCATCTTGGAAATTTCATGTTTAAACTAAATTTTACCAATGAGCTCCTAGCTATCAAAATCTATAGCTGTGATCTATGTCAATAATTATTATAAAATTAGCTGTAATATTACCTAGTTATTGACAAACTGTTATTTTTAGCCTTTGCCCTTTGAAAGCACATCCATTTCATTATCGTTTCCAATCACAAACAAAACCTCATTAAATTTTTGAGTGTATCTGATACTCTCCTAAGAAAATTATTATTGGTATTCTTAGTTAATCATGAAGAATCTATCTTACTCCTTGTAAGAGCAGCAGTGAAAATATTTTATTGTCCTTAATCTGAATTTCTTGAAGACCTATGTTGGTGCATATTAAATAAGAGGGCTAAAAGTCGATTTTCAATTGAGTAATCTTACAAACATTTCATCAGCCGATAACCTTTTACCAATGACATTATGTAGCACTAGCTACTTAGATTACTATGGTTAAGTTGAAGACTTATTATCAGATTTTTCCATGAATTTAATTACTTAAATCTTATAATTCTACAATTTTACTCTCTTTCCTTGTGTAAGGGGTTTTGGGGTTTTGGGG